CTGCAATATCACGGCGGCTGTTTGCACACTCGGCCGCTCGATAAAAGAACCTGTCGTTATCCGCGTGGCTGCGCTGAAATTTATCAGTAGATTTTTTTTCAGCCATGTTCCGGGCGCTCATCTTCGATACCAGGTCGAAAAAAATTCGAATACCCCCAGAAACTGGTGGAGAGCAGTGACAGTATATGTGCATTTCTAGAATGCGACAAGTCACCTAAGCCAGAAGCGACTACTCACTGGTTAGTGGGCAGTGGGCAGTGGCCACTGGCCACTGCCCACTGGCCATTTTAAAACCATTCACCGGCCACCACCATACGGTGACAGCTGTAATGGTATCGATGATACAGCATTTTTTTTTTTTTTTTACTTTTTTATCAAGCTTGAACTTTGAATGCTCGTTTGAAAATAAACAAATTCCAACAAAGAACCAAAACAGTGACAATGCATTGTAAAAAAAACCTTGTTGTTTTTCAATGATAGAAAGTAAACGAAATTCAGTTAGACTACAAACCGTTTTAAATTTGAATAAAAGAGGATTCTAAAGTTTCATTTTATCAAGTAAAACATTTCGATCAAATGGCAAACGATATCTTCTTGTCATCTGTATGCTGATTAGGGGCATTTTTCGATAAAGTCAACATATTAGCAAGAGATGCAAATATACGGATACTTGTGAGTCAAAATCGGTAGCAAAATGAAGATGTTTTCATGCGGATGCGTCTTCTCAAAAAATGTAAATTATGTACGAAACAAGGCTTCGCATTAATCACTTTGGTGAAAAAAAGTATTATAAAGCATTCACATTTTCCGTTAATTATTTCTGAAACATTTTGTCACAATATTATGGCCTACATAATGCTGAAATGTTCTGAATAACTTTCTTCTTTCCGGAAAAGGCGAGAAATTGAAAGAAGAATACTAGCTCATGAAAGAGCGGCGGTCCTAGAAAACTGCCCACATTTTTACTCAGTGAATTTTCCCCGGCAACAGGCAATAATATACTCGTCCTTTCTTGCCTCGGTCGAGCCGCAGTTTGCGGAGTTCGGACCCAGATCGGGCTTTAATGCTCTTTTGATCGTCTGCAAACAGAATTCCCACGTCTCGGTCGACGGAACGTGCAGGGGAGACTTTAATTAAAATCCCGAGCGGCGGGGGAAGGTTTTTTCGGGTTTTTTTTCTTCGGCATATCGCTGTCGCGTTGCTGGCGAACTCTTCAGATTCAAGTTTTGTTATTTCGTCCCGGCACACAATGTCTGGGAGTTTTAAGAGGCAGCAGTTTCTTGAGTGTCGGTTTTCGGTCTTTTTGTTTTTCTTTGTTAAGATGCCTGGCCATATTCAACCGTGAACTATTCATGTTGCACCACTTCCGAACATTTAAACGAAATCGAAGATCATTTTTTGTAAAGTCACGATTTCTCTCAATGAAAGGAATGATATGTATTTCCAAAACATTTCTCCAAACTGTTTCGCTGAATTGTACTGTCGGAACCTTAGTTTTATTTTGAAAGTCGGACACACATTGCGAGCCATGAATGTTCATTCATGCAGCATGAACGTTCATTCATGCAGCATGAACGTTCATTCATGCAGCACGAGCCACGTTCACATTTCTTTGGGCTTTCAACACTTTTGTTCTTTCACATAGAAACAGACTCCACATGTTGTCATTTCATGTTGTCAAGTCCCAAGTTCTTGCATATTATGTTTATTATGTTAATTAAGTGAGACCCAAAATTAAAGTGTGGTTGTTTGTTGAATTCAGTTTAAAAAAGCATGCATGGCTCATTTCATATGTACAGGAACAGCAACGTGCAAGCATGCAAGAGAATGCCTTTAAAAAGAACTGAGAAAATAGAGGCTGGTTTCTAGTATTCGTGACTATATTAGCCTCATTTTGGATTGGGATGTAAAAGAGATGAAAAGAGCCTGAAAATACGACTCAATTACGTTTCTTAAATCAACAGTAGCAATACAGAAGTATAACTATACCATCTCTATACCAAACCCACTTATGTCGAGTCGAGTAACAATTCGACCGAAAACAGTGACAAAACGGTTGTGTTAGCGAGACAGACTGTCTTGCAGCGCCCCATTAGCGTTAATTTGAGGTCTCGTATATATTTGCATCGCAAGGTGTTAATCTCGCGACCCTGAAATTTATGTAGCGATTACATGTACACCGGTCCCCGCTGATCCACACAACACTCACAGGGCCCGTTATCAAATGCAAGGGTATTACTGGCAATTAAGTGATTACACTAAGACAGGGATAGGGTCGGCTCGCTTTGATGCAAGGTGGCCCGATCAATTTGGACAATCAGTCGAGGGGACTAGTGATGGATTTACGCCGATAGCCCGTGGGTGATATGATACGTAAGCCAACTGACCTGCAGCGCGGACTGCAGCCTTGCTTCGTGTGGCTCTGCTGGCCCTGATGCCCTCTGGCCGGAGACCAATGGCCAACCCCCTTCCTTCCCGTCCCGTACCAATGAATTAAATGACCGCTGGCTATCGAACCGGTGACTAAACAATCCAGATTGGAAAATCTGTGTTCCGATCTGTCGTTCTTTGTGAATTATGACTGTGTTGTATTGTTCGTTTTATTGATTTCATCCTCGTTTTTTTCCGGCAAGGAATGACGACACAATTTGTGTTGATTCGAGCAACGATAAAAACAGAACAGAGCAATCGTCCACTAAATCGTTCTAGTATTGCACATTTTCTGTCTTGGATGATTTTAATCTATACCCTGATAGGGCAAACTGAGGTAATTTTTAGATTATTCTGAGCTTTTCGTCTTTAAATATCCTTCCATATCAATCAAAGAGGAACGTTTTTCCCGTAGCCCGATACAACTTCGAAGTCTACATGTATAGGTGCATCATTGCCGGCGATCTTAAACTCATCCGGCCATGTTGGTCTTGTACCCTTCCTCCACATGAAAAACGCATGATATTATAAATTCCACAGACAAGGTACAGACCAATATTTACAGTGGCGCCTTTGGTATTTTTATGACAAAAGGCCCTGATTATTATTTGTCTGAAATTCAAGACAACAAATCTCTAGTCCACTTTGCTTGACATCATGTGAACAATTGAACAATGATATGTTTTTCATGTCTGTGCATTATGTGATGTTTTCTACATTAAAACAAAGTTATTCTTGTCCTTTATTTTATTATTGCCCATTCATCAATTACTCACCCATGTTTTCTTAGAAATGCGAAAAATCAGCACAGAATTCATTGCAAAAGATTGCTGTCTTTGGGGATCCGCAGGTTAACGACCAAAGTATCAGTGGACTTCCAAACAAAGGGATTAAAAGTGCGCTAACTAATTTTTAATTCAATATTAGTTACATCATGCCGCGTGATTTGCGGCCGCACTATCATGCTCGCCATATCACAGTACCTAGCAACACAGCTGCACCGTCAACGAATTAAACGATTACAGGAAATTACAGATAAAGGTTGACTTAATAATTGATGATACTGGCTGTATATACTAGGCGCTGATTTGTCCGGTCAGTCACGCTGCCAGTTCAATCATGATCATTCGTTGCGGTTGCAAACCGGGAATGTATATGTAATTTTCTCATCCTTAAAAGGTCACTATTTGTCTCTCTTTAGAAGGAGTTTGTTGTGTTTCAAACCAAGATGTACAAGATGGTGCATGTGAACCTGTCTAAGGACAATCTACAAGAAGATGACAACATGTATATGTAATTTTCTCACTCTTAAGAATTCACTATTTGTCTCTCTTTAGAAGGAGTTTGTTGTGTTTCGACCCCAAGATGTGTAAGATGGTGCATGTAAACCTGTCTAAGGACAATCTACAAGAAGATGGCAATATGTATATGCTATTTTCTCATCCTTAACAATTCACTGTTTGTCTCTCTTTTCTTCAGAAGGAGTTGTGCTGTGTTTCGTCACAGAGATGTGCAAGATGGTGTATGTGCAACTGTCTCCCCCCCAGTTTAGTTTCATTATGAGAGGAAAACAGGTTAACAAATGTACCACCATTTTAAGAGGCTTGTGAGCATAATTTTAAACACTTAATTATACAATGCAAATAAAGAACTCCAATTTCTCTTTAATTAATCACAGAATTAGCTCCTTAAAGAACTGTGTTTTCTTTTGTCGACATGCCCGGTACAATATCTCCACCGGTACTAGGAGTTTAGTTTCGCAAAGTTGACCTGATCTCATTTTCAGATTCAGTCTTGAGTCAAAATAGGTCATCCGTGTATTTCCACCCCTCCCCCCCCCCCCCCAAAAAAAGCCGTAAAATTGCCTTGTTGCAAGTCCTCACCGACTCTCACTTTAGCCTACTTTTGTGCCAGAATTAGATCTGTCGTCGTGCTTTCAATCTGAAGAGCAAACTAGCGTCCGAGAGCAATATATACCCCAAGTCCCCCCCCCCCACCACTGCCTATCACAACCCATCGCAAGGAGATGGATTATCGCTGATTATTAGGAAGCCTTTTACCACCTACCGGTCGATGTTCATAATTTGCCGGTCGACTGGTCCGACCGGCCGGCCAGTTTCTTCCAATCTCTCAACTCCGGTTGGCCGGGAGGGGCTTTGCCGCGCGCGCCTGCCGGTTGTGGGGGGTCTGGAGCGCGCGCGCGAGGGTATGAAATGAATACTAATTGGATAGAGTCATCATCTTTATGGGCATCGTGTGCGTGCCTGCCATATTGTGTTGCCGTTTTGGCCATTCATGACTTTCTATTCGTTTCAACGTATTCAAATGACAGCCCGCGTATGACAGGATTTTTTAATAAACACTGAAGAACAGGGCCAGCCGCATGAGGGCGGTGTTTCGGTCGGATCGTCTGCCAAGTTTCTTTAAACAAATAAATTTCCATTGTCACGTCACACAAAATATAACGCATCCACGGTTCACTGTCGATTTCTTTTCTATAAGGAGATATTTTATGAACACAAAAGCTTGCACCTAAAAGAACACTTCTAATCAATTGCATTCTTGTGATCACTTTTCCAACTGGAATGTATTTATTGAATTTGAAAATTAAATTCTGGGTGTGAATAACAGTAAACACTTTAAAAAGATTCTTATTTCTTAAATTAATATCCAAGTCAAATACTAATGCTCAAAACATATGACTGTTGTTTCCGTCCAATGCTTCAAAAGAATATATACATTATTTGTAATCAAGAAATCTTTTATAAAAATCAATCAATTACAAAAAAAAAACATTTCAGATGTTGTCCAATATTGCGAAATAATGCTTCTTTTAAATTAATGATATCTAATACGTCAAACGGTACAAAATGAGACGTCCAAAAAGTTCAGCATTTCTGCAAAATGTTTGGCCCTGCTAGATTTATTTTACTAGATGTTTATAGAAAAGTCATGATAAACGAATCAAGACCTTGCAGATAAGTTTTTGATGACTCGGATTGCCAATAAAGATAATATGCTTCTTTAATGAAACAGCAGTTGCTGAAGAAGTCTCAAAAACTGCTCTATAAATTTAAGTTTTATTGGAAGTATTGGATACAGGGCGCGTGAGGTATGCTCAGATTTTCCTGGATAACGGTGCCAAAGTCCCCAAACTTGATTTGATGTATCTTGTTGAGAGCGACCTCTACTCGTATAGTAATCGGACCGGCTGCATTAAAGAAACAAAGGACACTTCTTCCAAGATTACTTCAAGACTAGACACTCAATATGCTGAAGTCAATGCCTGGTAGCTAGACTTTACCTCCGCGTCACCATTTTCACCATCGCAAACTGCTCAATCTCTCGAATGTGTTTTGTTGGTATAGGGCCATGGTGATTTCGAGTTTTCACAGATTGAAGTTTGTCTCCGATGGAGGGGTTTACTTCGGTTCCTCGTGAACTTCAGCGACCACCACCTCGGTAGTCACGGGTGTATCGGCGCGCCGATCCCCGTTAGTTGGCTTGTGGCCGTTCGGCATTATCTCCATCCCCGGAGATTCTGGAATCTCTCCGTTAACTTCACCGTTTCCGTTCTCATCCGGAACTTCCCCTTGTGGTTTCTTGCGGGACGCCCTCTTGTGGTACCGCTTCGGCTTCTCGGCCTTTTTCGGGTAGAGTTCGTGTGCTGCTTCGAAAAAATCGTCGGTAATGTCCAGATCTAGCAATCGGTCCTGTAATTACAAACAAAAGAACCTTTTAACCCAATGAATTCACTGTATACCAGTCCCATATTTCCAGAAAGCACTTGGCCAGAGACGTGATTAGAGCGCCACCAGGCGATATAAATCAGCAATACTCAAACGGTGAATATATTTCAAAAACTGAACAAATTTAAATGATTTTGTTCCAATCTTTTCCGTTGGATGAATTATGTTTCTAAAATTAGGCATTACCTAGAATAAATTACATAGATAAGTACATGCATTAATATTAAATTAATACTATAGAAATATTATGAATGATTGCGTCTAAACGTCAAAATATAAATCTACGAAGCTGTCCCTGAATGTTCTAACGTTCGTCCATTGAAAGTTTGAAGTTCATATAAATAGTATATAAGAATGCGTCAGTAATCTTTTATGAGGTGTGTTGTGTCACCTCTTACCAGTATGACTGCATAGCGATGTCTCTGTGTCGGTGCATCACCAAAGATTGACGTCTCGTTCACCAGCTTATCGTGCAGGTTGTACGCCCTCACCGACGTGTTGGGAGAGGCGGTTCTTGTGACGGAGCTCACGGCCAGTAGTTTATGCTGCTCGTCGGCAAAACCTGAAAGTAAATTACAACAGACAATAATAATCATACTCTTACTTCCAAAGAGTGAAAATTCGCCAGCCTAATGCTGCCATTTCGGCGCAAAGCAGCTATAATCAATCACAATAACCATCTCTGCCCTCACAGGTACCCATTTACTCCTGGGTGGGGAGAGGCAATGAGTGACTAAAAGTGCCTTGCCCAAGGGCACACGCACCATAACCACAGGCTGGACTTGAACCCACAACCTGCAAATCTTTACCCGCAGACCAGGATTTCAATGCTCCGGACCATGAGGCCACGGCACTCAATCCACGGCACTCCATCTCACAATACAGTGAAATTATCGAGTTTTCACTCGTGTTTCCCCTACAGCGAGTCCGTTTCAAAAGATTGTTTAAATCTAAAATTAGAGTGATTTTCACTCTAAATCATCTATCTGATATTTTCAATCATTTTGCTGGCTTAGAGAAAAAGCAGTTTATATCCGCGCTTTATTTAAGCAAAAGAAATCAGCAAGACAAGCCCCAGGGATTTCATGGAGTTTTGTTTTCTGGCAAAAAGTGTCTGAGCTGATGAGCCAATTCTCCACTTCGCATCACCATTGATTGCTGAATTCAACTCACCTAATTCGCTCAGCACTCTTTCCACCTGTCCTGAACTTTCTTTCGAACCTTCCGAATTTCTTCTACCTTTTGATGCAATAACATCTCCTCCTGTTGGCAAAAATATAATTTTTGTACAAGAAATGTAAGTCTCAGAATTGAATCTCAACGTGTGGGCATAAACGCTTGAAACTTCTCGTCCAGGAAGGGGCATCGCTAGGCGTAACCCCCCCCCCACCCACCCACCCACCCACCCACATAACACACTCTACCAGTCGTCGGTTCTGTGTTTTTGTTAACTTTTATTTAAACAACGTGTGGAAGATTTTAAGGTAATGCACCGATTTATTTAAGATGATTATGACGTCACCTCTCTGGAAACCGCTCTGCGCCTCCTGTCGAGCAGCTCGGCAAGTTGCCTGTCGTCCTCTGAGATCACGTGATTCACGTCATCAGGATTGGTCCAGAGGTTGAGGTCATCTGTGGCTGACCTCCGTGATGCTATGACGCCATCGACAAGGGCACCGCCCTCGTTTCTAAGCAACCATACGAAAATTTAGTTATTTTGTTTTGTTTTTCATTCAACATTATTTTATAACCTCGATCCAACACTCATGACCAGATGTCTTGGTGCTCAAATCGTGAGGTGACAGTTTTTACAGTTCTGAGTTTTACCTTGAAAAAATTGTTCTGTTGGTTTTTTTGGGGGGGGGGATGTTTGTTTGTTTACGATTGTAAGATGGGAGTAAAGCTTAGCTAGCTGAGTATAATGATAACATAATAATATATCACCGTCACTGACAATATAATATATATTTTTTCCAAAACTGACGATGTCAGGATTTTGTAAATTTGCTATGAAACTCTGGGCTCTTTTAATCAAACTAGCAGTGACGTTAATTGGTTGGTATCCACTATAGCTCACCTTACGAGAGGCGACTTCTCTGCGCTTGGCTCATCTAGGCCATCGTAGTTGTTGTCTCTTCTACAGCAGAATGACATGATTTCCTGTTCAATAGATACTGAAACTCTACGACTGTTTAACACAAATGGATATGCAGTTCATCGTTCAAGCTGAACGAGAGATCATGAATTCACGTTGTCCAAAAATCCATTGGCTTGAACTTCCACTGTGCGGTATGCCAGAGCTTTCCACTTCCTCATCCAACACGGCGAACAGCTACATTTACGATGAAACAATCTCTACAGTCATAACAACTACAACTTCACCCGAACAGGGTAAAATATCGAAAAAACTGTTTTAATGGCACGAGGAAATGAAGCAAAGAAGGTGTGTAGGCCGATATACTAGTAGAGGCTGATGTTTCAATCGTCCCGTGATAATTTTCTGCCCAAGTTGAACCTTATAATAGCGCGTACAGTGAGATCCAAGTCCAGGTTAAAGTTGCACATAATGCACTGTGTACGTACTTTCTGTATCGTTATCATATTAATTGGTCAGGTCACATGTACACATCGCAAGAGCCGAGTCGTCTGTACAGCTTCTGAACACTGGCTGAGCTTCCTGCGGATCAAAGGTTCAGGGATCAAATATTTTGCTTATCGCAACTTTAAACAATTAGTCTCGCTACGAGAACAGATTGATCAGCCACTATCGCAAAGCTAAAGTGAGATAGTCGTTCAGAAGGCTCAACATAGGTCAAATGAATTATTCGAGCTAGAGCCTTTTATAGCCTTAGAATAGCCATTTTTAGATAGACCATTTCAAAGTGCGAGAAGCTGTCTTTGATATGGCATCGCGGTTAATGGGGGCGCTCTTCGGGTTTTTATCCGACGAATTACAGATGACTGACTGGTGAATTCGAGCATGTGGTGGGTCGAGGTTTGGGCAGTAGAGGCGTACGTTATATACTATGCAAACCTGGTAGACCGTGAATACTGTACAGTCGTGAGAGCACAAAATTAATAAATGAGTTGGGATCGATCGAGCCCCTAGCTGATCATTTAAGTTTTGAGATTCCATAGCTTAAACCTAATACACATGGTGACTTGAGTTGCGAGTGCATCATTGTTGAGCATTGTTCAACTTTGAACCCATGAATGTGAAAATACATAGCCGACCACGAACAATAAATACTCCAAAAAAACTCTCCAAGGTTTTCGTTTAGTCAATTCTTGTAATAATAAGATGAGCTTGTAATAATTTCTGTTCTCAAAGTGTTCCCCAGGCAAACTCTAACTCGTACGGACAAATTTATTTTTCCCAAAAGTCTACAGTATATATTATTGGGACGGATATACTGTGTGTCTTTGGTTTTCGTTTCGGTTAGAATCAAGGGCGGATCGGGGGGGGGCAATGGGGGCTATGCCCCCCCCCAAAAAAAAAAAAAGCCCATCCCCGGCCAGCAGCAGCTGTGTCTCCCCCATCCCCCCCCCCCCCCCCCGCCCCCCCCCCCCCCCCCCCCCGGTTTAGAATTTAGGAGCAGACAAATTGTGTTTGTTATTGTTTTAAACTCATAAGTGCCCCAGAAACTGAGACCCCCTCCCGGGCCCGCCCTGCGAGTTGAAGTTACGTACGCACTGCACCCACCCCAAGCCCCACCAGCAGCACCACCATGGAGTCACACGCCTGTCTTTGATACTTGACGAATTCTGAGCACATAGATTATCAACCACACCTTATCAGGTGGGGGTAAATATGCATAGTATTCGGTGTACTGTCGTCAAGGTGTGTAAAACGAACCAGTATCATAAAAGGATTGTCGTTTTTAGAATGGGTATGGGAGCCCAAAGAGACAAATCACACAAAAATCTTTCCATTTGAAACATTGACCCAAACAACTCATTCACCAAAACTGGATATAGTTGCTGAAACTATTTTTTTAAAACGCTCTCAAGTACAGACTGACTGAAAGGATTTTGTTTTTTCGATGTTCTTCCGATATCCAGTGCTTAATTTCAAAGTTTCCCACTTATGCGGTATTGAAATTATCAAATTCGTTCTTATTTAGAGTATTGTTGGAAACTCATTAATCATCTCAATAATTGCGCATGTATTATTGCCCAAGCACCTGAGCGTCCTCTTTTTGAAATTTTCCCTTTTTATGTGTCTTTCGAACGATATTTATTATTTGTTTCGTAAGCGTTCCATATTCCCAAGCGATTTCAGAATCCCCGTCAACAATCTCGGGTATTTGTTGCTGGTATCCTCTTTCCACAAAAGAACCGCGCGTCCATGGTAAAAAAAAAAAAAAATCAGGTCATTAGGCATCAGGACAATTCCGAACTGCAGTTCATCTCATCACTGACTGGCGGCGACGTGTGCGTTGGGATTCACTCGCGCAGACATGGCAATGTACATGTGGATTGGTGCGATTTAGAATTTTCCTGTGTTTTAATCATGCCGGCTGGTTACATGGAGGGAAGACGGAAATCCGAGTAAGTTTTTTTCTCCTTCTTAAAAAGCGGATTACACGGACTAAATTTTAAAGTTTAGACGTGAATTACGGGGGAGTAAGATATCATACGGTAATTCTTCGGACTCCACAGTTTTAGGTAGATCCTCAGAATTTTTTCAGAACACGAAAAAATGCCATGCATGCCTATTATAACGAAATGATTAAATGCTACGCAAGCGACACATAATTATTTGGGTGAATAAAGTTTCGTGAAATGTTAGTTACATGGTGATAATACAAAGCAAACTGAAGGTCTGCCATTAATGGGAACGATTCGGTGACGTACGATTTCACAACTATTTGTCTTTGATTGGGAATGTTTTGTGCCTACATTGATATTTTTTAACGATTTCAGGAACTTCGTGACTAGTTTATTTGGAACCGTTCAGTATGATAATTTTTTTCAATAACGAAAAACAAAATGATTTTTAAATATTAACTCTCACCCTCTAAGGTGTAAAACAAATCATGGAAAGAATGTTGCAACCTGACGGCTTTTGTTTTCTTCATATATCATCTCAATGAAGGTCACTCACTGCAAAAATGATGATAAGACATGAAAATATAACAGGGAAGTTCAATTTGTAATGAAATTGTGTGCAACTGAATGGCAGCGTAGTGGGATGATGGCAAAACGCAAAAATGAATGGGAAGTTTTGCCAATCAATCAAAGAACAAAGGTATATTCCATCTAACACATATTTCAGATTTAGGTAACGATCAAAATATTCATTAACAAGTTTCATGTGATCTGTTTTATTAATCTTTGAAAAGGTCCTGACTTCATTGAGTTTCATTTTTTCTCTCGTGTTAATTTGACTAACGCCACAACCGTCATTTTTTGTAAAAACATAATCTGCAGAGTCACGACCTCTCCGCGAATTTGTGCTATTTTTTAATGCAATGTCTCCTGAAAATTTCGTGTCTGAATTCTGCAGTGTTTTATGTCTGTGAATCAAAGGGCTCGTGGGTTGGCCAAGCGATAAAGGCTCTTATATAATTACGATATAGGTGTTGACAAAGGGGCACGACTATGACAAGTTATGCCCACTCCCTGCATTCACTTAGCAACTCCAAATACCAAAGGTCGTTCGCTGGATGAAGGCAATCGATGAGCCTACACGCTCCCGCCATTTACTTTTCAAAGCAAGCTTTGCTCGAATGTGGAAATTATCCACCTTGACGTTAAACCTTTTTAACAGCAAACTCGGGCACAAATTCAGGGCTAGTTAGAGGCCACGAGGGGGAAGGGGTCGTTTGCAGTGGTTAAGAGCAAAACTAAAACTTGAAGGTGGTTGCAAAATAGTGTGCCCGCGCGAGCTGAAACTTAAACAGTAAAGGTACCGTAGTTTGAAAATTTTAGCAATTTTGTGGCTTCAAACGAAAAACATGCACACAGAGCAAATTACTGATCAACGACAACCCCAGAGCCTAATTCCATTGCTATGCCAACCACAGAATTATGCGCTCAAAATCGCAACTATGTGCTCAAACGCAAGCGCAGACATAGTTCAACCTTGGGCACAATACTCACATACTCTAAAACATCAAAACATAGCTTGATTCGCCGCTCTTCACTTTCTGTACAATTTAAAGGGATAACCTATGGATTTTGGAAGATATCCTCTATGGCAGAATAGAACGACTGTTGTTTGAATTTACACAGTCCTTTCAGAGCTGAGTCTTCGCTCGTACCCCCCCCCCCACCCACCCTGCACCCTGTTTGCAGGACGGGTACGAGATAAAGCTGAGCCATTCATCGTTAAAACACCTTCAGTTCATGACCACAAAAAATATTATTCGAAAGGATTTCAATGTATGCGAATCGCGATTTGGACGTCATGGGTCATATGCTGCCTTTTCACTGGCCCGTGCAACCACAATTGAACTTGACAACGAAACATCAACAAAATGTATTCATTCAGGTTGCCATTTAGTTCGTGCATGGTAATGTATGCCTGGTGTTGCTCTTCGACAGTATAGCGATTGAGTTTAATATTCCAGTTTGTTTCTTTTTGTCAGCATGCGGTACAAGTCAACGGGGCTGATGGTTCTTGTGCTGTTTCTGGTCTCCGTGTACGTTTTAATTGCACGTAAGTCAATACAGAGAGATTTGTCTAAAACTTCCCATTTCGTAACTGTAATGATTTCCCCTCCTCTCTCATTACTCCGAACAAAAACTTATCATTTTGATAAGTTGTAAGATCAAGACAAGTGTAATTATCGTCTCGTCTAC